GGTGCAAAGCTGGAATGAGCAGGTGAGATAGGCTCATATTCAGCATCGGGCACGATGATCTGTGGTGGTGCTTCTGCAGTCGGCACGGGTGGCTCCAGGCGAAAACGATGCCTGGGAGGCTCATCATCATCTTCTTCCAGCAGAGGACCATCAGGCTCAGTGTGTTGTTCATCTTCCTCGACATCATCCAGCTGTTGGCGGTTCACCCGTCTCAAGTCGTAGAATCTAGTGACTCCACGGGATTTCAGCTGTCTCACTTTGTTGAGGGCTGATTGCAGGTCTTCGAGCACGTGCTGAGGTCCGAGGATGTCTGCACGGACATGGTGAGGCGCAGCACGAATCAACTGTGTTTTGTAGGCGAGCCAGTAGGTCTTGACCTTTGGAGCTGCAGTATCAGCTTCAGCATCTTTTTGACGAAGAACCACGTGGGCAGGACCAAGCCATCTGATCTTGTTCAGGGCTCCTTGACGAGCATCACGCCAAAACCATACTCTTTCTCCCAACTGGAAAACTCGATTCTGGCCCTGGTACTTGCGACTGAGAGCTCGTCGCAGCTTGGAGTCAGCATCAGCAGATGCCAGTGCCATCTTTGCAGCAGTTCGCCGCTCAAGGTTCTCCTCAAATGAGCTGTTGTTGCCAGCAAGTTGAGCTGCATTGAGGTTGGAGTCCATGAGGTGGGACAGCTCAGGTTGGAAGCCAAGAACCCATTGACTGGGCGAGAAGCCAGCAACTGCAGGTGTGGCGTTCTGCTGGGGGATCACATAGCAAAGTGCTTCCTTGATGCCAGCAGCGTCGTTGAGCTTGCGGTCATCCATGTAGACCTCACAGGCACGGCGCAGCACTGCATGACGGCGCTCAACCAACGAAAGGCGCTCATGAGCTTCTCCTGGTGCTACTTGATGGTCAACGCCAAGTGAGCTTGTCCAAGATTCAAACGGTGCACCAAGCCAAGGTCGGCCTTCATCGGAGATCAGCTTCTTGGGAGGGCCAAAATGGCGAACCCACATCTTTTCCAGAGCGGTGATGTAGGACTTGGAGGTCTCCTCATGAAGCAGGTAGGCTGCCATGAACTTGGTGCCAACATCAACTATGCTCAGCACTGCAAACTTGCGGTCTGCTGGCTTGAGGTAGAAAACGTCAGCCTGAATCACTTCGTTGAAGGTCTTGGGCTGTGGCATGGATGATGGAGCAACCTGGTTGGGCTTCTTGTGCTTCAGACATGCCACACACTTGTACTCCTTGGCAGCGGCGATCACAGTGGGATGAGCTCCTCTGGCGGTCAACAGATCAGCCAGAGCATCAGGTGCCGGATGGCCAAGATTTCGGTGTAGCCGTTGCACCGTTCGAAGAGCATCTTGTCGGTGTTCAGACTTGAGCTTGAGGAGGTGTCCGGTCTCTTTCTTGCCAGTTTCATCGACCACATAGGCGGTGTCCCACAGTTGAGCGGTCTCAGGACGAGCCAAGGCAGCAGCCAGTGTCGCTGCAAAGCCAGGTTGGTAGTCTTCCAAGTAGGTGGTCCGGCGGCCATAGCCAGGAGCAGAACCTTCCAAGGGGCAGTGGTAGTGGTCATGGTCACACTTCAGCTGGAAGGCCTCTAAAACAGCCTGCTTTGTGGTCAACAGGCGAGTGCTCTTTTGGACAGGTCGCCAGATGCCGTCGGTGTCCATGCACATTGCTCCATAGCGGCATTGGTCGAAGTCGGCATGGTAACCAGGAAGATCTCGGAGAGCCATCGTGTTCCAGCTCAAGGCATGTCGGGGCTGCTCCAAGTGGGCATGCCGTGCATTGGTCACCTGTCGTAGGTAGATGCGCTTGGCAAAGCAGAGATGGCGACGATGGTGGTGCTCACGTCGAGCCTTCAAGGCTTCTTGCTGTGCAGGGGTGCGACAAGCCAAGGTTTGCATTCTTGACCACAGGCGGCATTCTGGTGCCACCAGCACTTCATCAGGTTCTTCTTCATCAAGTCGTTGGAGTAGCTGTTGTTGATGGCTGATGAGGTTGAAGTCCCAGCCATTGTCCAAAGAAAAAAATCTTTCCACCTTCATGCCAAGCTCCTCTGCGATGTGGCCAGTGCGAGCTTTGCCACAATAGATTTCCCAGAGAACTCGTCGATGGTCGGGAGGATTGTGAAGCTCCTGAGTGATATAGGCTTCGGTGGAGTTTGAGGTAGTGACCAACTGAGTCTCCATGGTTCGAAGGGCATGTCGATGAAGGCGAGTGGATTGCAATTCGCCACCTGCTAGAGCCACATCTTCAGCCTGAAACACATGTTCGAGCTTGTTAAAGTCCTCGAAGTGGAGATGGCTGCCAGGTGTTTCCTCAGCAATGCGAAGGCTGAATAGGGTTTTCGTGGGATCAGGTACTTCCTCCATGCCAGTGGTGAGGCTCAACAAGTACTCGCCATGGCGGCCCACAAGCACTGAGGTCCAAGGCGATTGCCCAAAGCGAATGCGCTTCTGGCTGAAGTCGATGCCCATGTGCAGAGCCTCAATCACAGGTCGGCCCATCAACATTGGTGTGTTGCCAGGAACCAGGTAGCATTGGATCGTGCCGAACTGGCCATCGATCATCACCGGGAGATCCACTGTCCATGAAGCTCGTGAGGATGCATCGCCGCCAAAATGGAACTGGCGGTCACATCGAGCAAAGCGGATGGTGTTGATGGGGTAGTTCATGGAGTGCAAGTGGCTCAAATAGCGGCCGAATGGACCATATCCGCACAGGAAGGCAGATGCACCTGGGTCAAGCATGGTGGCATCCGGTCGGTCGGTGCCCATCTCATCCTGGAACAGGACCAAGGCGGTCTCATTCTGCAAGGCCATACCCTCAGTGGGCGCAGGTCTCTTGTTGGACGATGAGGGTGATTTCGCACCTTGTGGACATTGCGCTGCCCAATGACCTGGTTGGCCACAACGAAGGCATGTAGTTGCCTTTGCACGACCTTTTGGATCAGCCTTTCCACCTGAGGAGGGTGGATAGCGCACCACATTCTTTCCTTTTCCTTTGCTTTTGCTCTTGCCCTTTCCTTTGTTCTTGCCGGCGCCCTTCGAAGGTGAAGAGGATCCAGAGGCGGGCGAAGCGTTCTGGCCATCAGTGAGGGCGACGATCGGCAGGTAGCCACGAGCCAACTTGAGCTGCTGGAATCTTTGCCGGGCATCCAAGTAGGTGGCATAGGCGTGGTCATACTCTTCGGCCAACTCTTGAGGATCTTCGGACAGGTCATGGTGTTCTCCAGGTTCATCCTCTTCGCCGTAGTAGATGGCGTCATAGTCAAAGTCAGCCTCATCGTCAGGGGCAGTGTCATCATACCAGTCGTCGGCCTCATAGTAGGCGTCTTCTGTCCAGGGTTGCTCGGACCAGCAGGCATCTTCTTCATCGAATGCGGCGTAGCCGCGGCCCTTCCAGCGGTTGAACTTTCGCTCACGTTCAGCATTCCAGCCGCCTGCCTTGTAGTCCTGACCGAACAGCAGGTACAGGGCTTCGATGACAGGATTCTTTTCCAACGTAGGAGCCTTCAGCGTCACCATTTGGCGTTGCTCCTTTGACAAAGCAGCACGTCGGAGTAGATGCCATCCTTGAACCTGGACTGGAAGAGTCACATTGTGGGCAGTCAAACGACGATAGGCGGTGTCATGGTCGGTGACGAAGGACAGGAGGCTTTGCTGTGGCTTCCTTTGCAACAAGTTGAAGTACTCCTCAAAGTCATTCGGAAGGAGCACACGATCGTCATACTCGAAGTTCTTGTCGAGCTTGGTGATGATCTTGCTGAAGCCATCCTCTTTCTCAGCCTCTTCAACTGAGAAGTCCTCGAACAACCGCCACGTCACACCCTGAAAACTTCCCAGGATGTTCAGGACGGACTCGGCTGAGCGCTTGCTGATCTTCATCTTGTGGTGGTAGAGCATCAGCCTCTTTCTGTACTCTTTGTAGTCCTGGGGTTGTCCACTGAACAGTGGAACGAAGGAGTCGCGCAGGTTGAGGTAGTCACCATCCTTGGAACCTTCTGCAGCCGATGTCGTTGGTGGCATTCTCAAACAAGTAGCCAAGACCGAAAGGGCTCTTCAACGAGGAAACAAAAGAGCTCGGCCAAGGGTTCGTGACAAAGGACTTATGCAGAACCTCGTTCTTCTTCGCGCAAAGGACTCGGAGCCCCCCGGAGGAGGCTCCGCTACCAATGCGAAAAAGGGTAGCAGCGGCACCCGAAGTCCGCAAACACGAAAACAAGAGGGCGCACTGAAGCGCCGCGGCCGCGCCTTTTGCAAGGCAACTGCCCTCCCAGTCTTGAGAGGGAACGACGGTAAGTGAAGGTCGAAAACAGTTCGAACTGCCGAAACACAAGTGCACAGCGTGAACTTTACAGCTGGCATTAAAGTGGTAGGGGCCATTGCCTCAGAAGCTGACCATATTGGCATGTGGGGAGAAGGTTGCCCTTGTGATCACAGTGAAGAGGAACTGAAAGACCAACAAAAACAAAAGAAACAGAAACTTGAGCAAGAAGGAAGAGGAATTTCAGTGTCAGGCTCCTTATGCCCTCTGAGGGGGTGTAGGGCTGTGGAACTGGCAAGTGGTTATGCCAGAGAGAGTCAGCTGCGAAAAATGATTCTCAACAAGAACGACATCTCTTTTCATGTAGCAGAGTTTCCACCAGAGCTTCGCAGTGGGGCAATCAGTGATTGGGAGCGTGCTAGGGGGAAGCTTTGGTTTCAGCTGTCGGCAAAGTTGAAGTACTGGTCAGAGCTGCCATGGCAGCTTTGTGATTCGGCTTTACTTCAGGGTCAGGGCCGCGGCCAGGGCCCGGGCAGGGTGTTCTTGTTCTTGCAAATGCGCTACTGCACTGCAGCTGCAGCCATGATCAGATCATGATGCCGTTCACTGTTCACTGTTCACCTTTCCTGCTTTGTTCCACGCATCTCATACTCATACTTGGCTTGGCTTGGCTTTCACTTTCTGCTTTTGGGATTGGAATTGGGATCTGCATGATTGTTCATAGTCCATGGTCCATGGCATGGTCAGTCAGTCAAGGTGGCCTTGCAGATTCTCGGCCTGACGTTGTCACAGCCATAGCGCAACGGGTCATTGCTTTATGGAATCAGGGAGGGCCAGGTTGTCTTCACAGGCAATCCCAAAGGTTTCTCAATCCGCTCTATGACAGATCCAGGCCAGGCCAGCAACCCACCAGTGTTAAGTCATTCAATGACTGTGACATGTTGACATGTTGTTGCCATTGCCTGCCCCTGACCGCCACCTTGACCTTAGGCCAGGAAGACCTGATCCTTCTTTACGAGAAGCTGTGAACCTTTTGTCAAGTGGAGAGTTGGTATCCAATTTGCCAGAGCCACTGAAGACATATTTCATTCGCTGGGTGAGTGGATTTCGTTTAGACTCTCGCACTGAAAATGGCACTCTCTACTACTTTAGTTATGTCACTGACTGGACTGACTAGCGCTGGATTCAACGCACACTCACTGGCAGTGCTCAGTGCTCATTGGGTTCAAATGCATCTATCTTGCTTGGTGTGAGGTTCGCTGCATTGAGCGCAATACGGAAGGCTGCCATAGTTTGTTGACCAAATGCTTGCGGAGGGCTCCAGCAGCCAAACCACCCTACATGTCCCTGGAGCTTCGCTGGTCTGTTCTTAGAGATGACATCAAGCAGGTCAAACACCAACCACTGGCTACTTGGCTTGAATCTAGTCCCTTAGATTCTATAGATTCTACAGACAAATCAGATCAGATGTTTAAACAACAACATGTTACTATGTTAAACTATGTTACCAGTTCAATTTCAATTTCAGTCACTTGACTTTTGACACGCAGGTTTTGAAGGAGTTGATGCGAATGACAGACGGGATTGAAAGCACTGAAGGTTTCCGCAAGATCGTCTTGAAGCTTGCCTTGCATATTTTGCAGCTCTTTGCATTTGTGAATTCTGAATCAATCTTGTTGTGCTGTGTCAAATCAACTTGCGCAATGCTGGCTGGCTGCCATTGCCATTGGCCATTGTTGTTATCTCCCAAATCGCCAATCGCTCAGGAGCATTCTCAGGTTGCAATGCAGTGATTCTTTGAGGAAGCTTTCACTGCCCAAGCTTGCAGGTTTGTTGTACAGGGAACACCTTATGTCAGATGCTTATCATTTATCATGTCTCTTTGTCAGATCAAGTCAGAACAAGATAAAGTTTATGTTGGCTTTTGAACATCAATCATAACCGTTGTGATCTGTACTCTTTCTTCTTAGGTTGAAACATTCATCAGGGCAGGAGTTTCAGGATTTGCTCAAATCCAAACTTGACGCGGCTTCTTTGGCAATGGCATCTTTCAAAGAGCTTGAAGATAACCCTAGCGGGCCTAGCGATGACAGTCGAGACATTTTGAAAATCATCTTGCTTGAGCATATGCAGGACTACTGACTACTGCTTAAAACTGCTTTGATCGCTTCAAGTTTTTCGAGAATTCTGCTTGCCACTTGCCACTGGCTGTTACTGTTACTGTTTCCCCTTCCAGGCTCTGTCTTCGGATGGGTCGGTGGACATGGTCTTCAGGGGTCCAGAAACACTTCTTGCACAGAAGGGCGTGCTGATTCCTGTTGGACAAGACTCTGAAATCGCTTTGGCAGGCGTTGGTTGGCCAGACGGTCGTTGTTTGTTTGTTTGTTTGTTTGTTTGGTTGGTTGGTTGTTTGTTTGTTTGGTTGGTTGGTTGGTTGGTTGGTTTGTTGGTTGTTGTTGGTTGGTTTGTTGGTTGTTGTTGGTTGGTTGTTGTTGGTTGGTTGTTGTTGGTTGGTTGTTGTTGGTTGGTTGTTGTTGGTTGGTTGTTGTTG